CACTCTGTCATCCAGGCTGGAGTGCAGTGGCACAATCTCGGCTCACTGCAACCTCCGCCTCCCGGGTTCAAGTGATTCTCCAGCCTCAGTCTCCCAAGTAGCTGGGATTACAGGCACATGCCCCCACACCCAGCTAATTTTTTTATTTTTTAGTAGAGATCGGGTTTTGCTATGTTGGCCAGGCTGGTCTCGAACTCCTGACCTCAGGTGATCCACCAACCTCGGCCTCCCAAAGTGCTGGGATTACAGGCTTGTGCCACCATGCCTGGCCCAGTTTGTAGTTTTAAATAGGGGGTAAGGGAAGGCTCCAGTGAAAAGTGACATCAGAGTAAAGACCTGAAGGAGGGGAGGGAATGAGGAATGCAGAATCTGGGCACAGAGATTTCACGACCGAGGAACAGCCACTGAGGAAACACTATTTCCTCAATGCAAAGCCCTGAGTCAGAAACCCCCCAACACTCTTAAGGGACAGTGGCTAAAAAACTGAGCAGGGGGAGAAAAAGAGATGAGGTCGAAGAGGTCAGGATCCTGGGGAGGCTGATAGACTATCATGATGACTTCAGCTTTTTCTTCCCCTCAGATGGGGAATCTTTGCAGGATTTTGTCAGAGGAGTGATGTGATCTGACTTATTTTTAAACAATCACTCTGGCTACTGTGTAGAGAGAAGACCCAGGGGGAACAAGACCGGGAGCGGGGGAATCTGTTATCAGGGCTGACAGTAGCTCAGACCCAAGTGATAGTAGCGGAGATAGCAAGAAATGATTAGGTTTGAGATCTGTTTTGAAGATAAAGCCAAAAGGATTTGCTGAGAGATTAGACATGGGGTGTGATGGAGTGGCCATTAGCTGAGATGGGGAAGGTGGGAAGGAGTAGGCTTTGCGGGAAGATCAGGAGCTCAGTTTGGGATGTGTTAAATTGTGGGCATTTGTGAGACGCCAGGGGTGTCAAGCAGGGAGTTGCATGAGTGAAACCAGACCTCAAGGGAGAGGTCTGGGCTGGAGACACAAATTTGGTTGTCGTCAGCAGTGATGGCATTTAAATCTGTGAGTCTGGGTGAGGTCACCAAGGGAGTGTGTGTGGACAGAAAAGCAATGAGGTCCTCGACTCAGCCCTAGGGCTCTCCAGCGCTGAGAGGTAGGGAGGTTCAGACAGGATCAGCAGAGAAGACTGAGGAGTAACAGCCAGCAAAGTCGAAGGCAAACTAGGAGAAGGTGTTGTCTTCAAAGCCAGGGGAAGGCAGAGTTTCAAGGAGCCATGAGAAATCAACTGTGGCAGATACAGCTGCATAGCGGCCAAGGAAGATGAGGACTGGAAAACCGCCTGCTGGATTTAGCAGCAGGGAGGTCACGGGTGTCCTTGAGAAGAGCAATGTTGCAGAGCGGTGGGGGTGAAGGCCTGGCTGAAGCATTTTCTTTGGGCAGAGATGTGGCGATGTGGATATATTCTTGGGGGCAGGTGCTGCTTACCAAGCCCCTGCCAGGTGCCACAGATGACGTACCCATCTGTACCAACAACTCCATGAGGGAACTGTGGCTCACACAGGTTCAGGCCTTGCCCAAGGTCCCCCTGGAGCCAAGATCCTTATTCGGGCCTGTCAGACTCTGAAGCCTATGACCTTGCTGCTCCACTACATCTGACTCTTGGGTGCATGATCTTCCAAGCCTCACTCCTTTGCCTCCTCCCAGCCTCCCTTCACCTGGCGAGTTGGGACCTAGCTGGGGATTCTCTGACTGTCTTGTCTGGTGGGTGTGATTTGCCTAGGTGTAGACAAACACCCGCCTACCAGTTTTCCTTGCAACACCTGCAGCACGCACAGGTGCTCGGAGAATGGCAATAAACAGGCCTCACCCTCAACCTTCAAGCTTAAGACTTACACACCCAGGCTTTGGCTTCAGACCTTCCTGAGTTCAAATCCCAACTCTGCCACATACTAGTTGTTTCACTCTGTGCAGATCTGTTAGCAGGTTGGGCCTTCGTTGGCCTCACTTGAATAATGGGGATAAGAATCTCTGCCTCTCAGAGTTTTGAGGACACAGGATTCATCACTGTTAGTGAGTAGTAAGCACTCACTAGAGTGAGTAACTGGTTTTGTTGACTATTGGAATTGGTAAAGGAGTTTGCAGCTGGCTGCGGAATAGATTAGCAGTGACCAGGCAGCCGTCTCCTGCTGGTATGGGAAGAGATGGGTGGCATGGAGCCTAGGAGCTGGCAGAGTTGGAGGGGTAGTTGGGGAGAGAGGGCCTCAGCTGGGGCTCTTGCTTGGAGCCCAGAAAGCTGGATGGGAAGGAATGAGGGGGGAAATAGTGTGATCCTCAGATAATTTATTGCATAAAATAAATTCTGAAGGCAGTATGAGCTCCTATTCCATCATACTGCCTTCAGCAAGGCAGGAGGATTTTTTTTTTTTTTTTTTTTTTTTTTTTCATTTTGAGACAGAGTTTCGCTCTTGTTACCCAGGCTGGAGTGCAATGGCACGATCTCAGCTCACCGCAACCTCCGCCTCCTGGGTTCAAGCAATTCTCCTGCCTCAGCCTCCTGAGTAGCTGGGATTACAGGCATGTGCCACCATGCCCAGCTAATTTTTTTTTTGTATTTTTAGTAGAGACGGGGTTTCACCATGTTGACCAAGATGGTCTCGATCTCTCGACCTCATGATCCGCCCGCCTCAGCCTCCCAAAGTGCTGGGATTACAGGCTTGAGCCACCGCGCCCGGCCGGCAGGAGGATATAATGGGTAAGGACAGGGGCTCTGATGACAGCTACTGAGTTCAAGGCCGGGCTCCTTAACTGACCAGCTGAGTGATCTCAAATGACCTCACTTTTTTTGCTTCATCTTTTTTTACTTTACTGTCCTCATCTGTAAGAGGACACCTTCATAACTATTGTCAGTGAAGATTAAGTGTATAAGGCTGGGCGTGGTGGTTCACAACTATAATCCCAGCACCTTGGGAGGCCAAGGTGGGCGGATTATGAGGTCAGAAAATTGAGACCATCCTGGCCAACATGGTGAAACCCCGTCTCTACTAATACAAAAATTAGCTGGGCGTGGCAGTGCATATCTGTAATCCCAGCTACTTGGGAGACTGAGGCAAGAGAATTGCTTGAACTCAGGAGGTGGAGGTTGCAGTGAGCCAAGATCGCGCCACTGAACTGCAGCCTGGTGTCAGAGCTAGACTCTGTCTCAAAAAAAACAAAACAAAACAAAAACTAATATGTATAAAAATTATTTGCACATAGGAGGCTCTCACTAAATATGTAAATGTCTATGGCTGTTGTAACAAACACTCATCACAATACTGTGAGGCAGGTAATACCTGCGTCTTAGTTATTTAATTTTTTAATAGAGACAGGTCTTGCTGTGTTGGCCAGGCTGCTCTTGAACTGCTGGCCTCAAGCCATCCTCCCACTTCAGCCTCCCAAAATGCCAAGATTACAGGCATGAGCTACCATGCCTGGCCCAATATCTGCATTTTATAGAAGAGGAGCTCTGCACAGAAAGAGTCTATAACTGACCCAAAGTCACAGTTAGTTAATGGAGAAGCCAGAAATCACGTTTAAATAATCTGGCTTCCAAGCCCAAGCGAACAACTGGACTCTCACCTTCCTGAAAAAGGTGCCCAGCGTCCCAAAGGCAACTCCTTGGGCATGTCCCCTCCCCACACATGTTGTCACTCAAAGGGATGAAGAGTTTGTGACCTCCCGAGAGGGCCATAGTTCCCAAAAGAGAGAACCTAGTTTGGTGGAGACGCTGAGTAAGAATGGGAAGTGTGGTTGGGCATGGTGGCTTATGCCTGCAATTCCAGCATTTTGGGAGGCTGAGCCGAGTGGATCACTTGAGATCAGGAGTTCGAGATCAGCCTGGCCAACATGGTGAAACCCCATCTGTACTAAGAATACAAGAATTAGCTGGGCATGGTGGCGGGTGCCTGTAATCCCAGCCACTCAGGAAGCTGAGGCAGGAGAATCGCTTGAACCCAGAAGGCAGAGATTGCAGTGAGCTGAGATTGCACCACTACACTACAGCCTGAGTGACAGAACGAGACTCCCATCTCAAAAAAAAAAAAAAAAAAAAAAATCCCTGGCAGCAAGCTGACTTGGGGGGAAAGAAAGCAAAACAAAAAAACCCTGAAGCTAAGAGAGGTTGACTGGCTTGTCCGTTGCTGTCTGGTGGAAGCAAGCCTCCCTTCCCATCTTCCTCGTCTGACTGACTCAATTGCCCCACATGTGTATATGTCAAATCATGTGGCTCCCTTACTTGGCACTTCCATGTCTTTTACAGGGTTTCTACAATAGTCATGTCTTAAAAGCAGAAATTGGGGTGTGGTTCGGGAGAGAAAAGATTACAAAGTGGACGTAGCTTGTTGCCAATGGGAATCTTCACAGCAAAGGATCCCACCTGAGCCCATACTTAACGTCCTTCCTCTTGGTCAGTCCCATGTGCCCAGCACTGGCACCCTCTGTGAACAGACCTTGGGTTGGGCACAGTCACCCAGAGGTAAAGCAGAAAGGAGAGGGAGGCAGACATGGAAACAGGTCGGTGCATTTGGTGCACCAGTAAGTGCTACAAGCTTGTTAGCTTTTCCAACGCACCCTGCTCCTTTCTGCCCCTTCACGTGCACTCTTCTCTGCCAGGACCTCTCCTCCTTGCTTTGCCAACTCCAGCTTATCCTTCAGATCTCAGCTTGTTGTTACTTCTTCAGCAAGCCCTCCCTGTATAGGTTAACCATCTCTGCTGTGCTGCCCCAGACGTAGTATTTATTCTCTACTGTAGTTGCCTGGCTATTTGTCTGTCTGCCCTGCTACAGGGTAAGCACCACAGAGGCAGGGATCATGGTTATTTTCTCACCATCATATCATGAGTATCTGGAACAGGGCCTGGCACATAGAAATATATCAAACACACGTGAATGAAGAAGTCGGTTGAACAAGGGAGAGGGCCACATATTGAGCTGATGGCACAGATGAGCAATCTGACCTCTCTCCTCTCTCCTCTCTTTCAGCTGTGGTCGCCAGGACCCCCCCAGAGCCAAGACCTTCTCCAGAAGGTGACCCTTACCCACCACCACCACCGATGTCAGCCCTGGTCCCTGACACTCCCCCAGACACCCCTCCTGCCATGAAGAATGCCACTAGCTCTAAGCAGCTCCCACTGGAACCAGAGAGCCCCTCAGGGCAGGTCGGGCCTAGGCCAGCCCCCCCGCAGGAAGAGTCCCCTTCCTCTGAAGTAAAAAGCGGAGGACCCACCCCACCAGCCACAGGCCCACGAGATGCCAGACCTCCTCGAAGGAGCAGCCAGCCATCTCCAACAGCAGTGCCAGCCTCTGACAGCCCTCCCACCAAGCAAGGTGTGTGGAATGACCCCGGCCTGGGCGTAAACCCCTTGGCTCACGGTCCTGGCCCTGGATCATGCCAACTGAGAGATTCTCCTTTGCCCTGGAGGAGATGAAGAAAGGATGGGGTGAGGCCCGGAGGGAGGGCTCTTGAGGCTGACTCTTCTTTGGTGACAGCCTTTTGACCTGTCTGTTCTTGTTCCTTCCGCCCAGAGGTGAAGAAGGCAGGAGAGAGACACAAGCTGGCAAAGGAGCGGCGAGAAGAGCGGGCCAAGTACCTGGGTGAGTGAGCAGGAAGCCTCATCATCTTCTTCATTGTCACCATCAGCATCCTATTAATAACACCAACACGTCTGCAACACTTAATTATGTGTACTGTGCTAAGAGGAGGACACACATTATCTCATTTAATCCTCAACCCACTTTGAGGAGGAAACAGAGGCTCAGAGAGATGAAATCATTTGCTGGCTGGGTGTGGTGGCGCCTGTCTGTAATCCCAGCTACTTGGGAGGCTGAGACAGGAGAATCGCTTGAACCCTGGAGGTGGAGGTTGCAGTGAGTCGAGATCACACCATTGCATTCCAGCATGGGCAACAAGAGTGAGATTCCGTCTCAATAAAAAATAAAAATAAAAATAGCCGGGCGCGGTGGCTCACACCTGTAATCCCAGCACTTTGGGAGGCCGAGGTGGGTGGATCACAAGGTCAAGAGATCGAGACCATCCTCGTCAACATGGTGAAACCCCGTCTCTACTAAAAATACAAAAAATTAGCTGGGCATGGTGGCACGTGCCTGTAATCCCAGCTACTCAGGAGGCTGAGGCAGGAGAATTGCGTGAACCCAGGAGGCGAAGGTTGCAGTGAGCCGAGATCGCGCCATTGCACTCCAACCTGGGTTAACAAGAGCTAAACTCCGTCTCAAAAAAAAAATAAATAAATAAATAAGAAATTATTTGCCTAAGCCACACAGCTAGTAGAGTAGCTGAAATTCAGACCCAGAAGACTCATTTTACCCCAAATCCTATGCCTTTTTTTTTTTTTTTTTTTTTTTGAGACAGAGTTTCACTCTTGTTATCCAGGCTGGAGTGCAATGGCGCAATCTCGGCTCACCACAACCTCCGCCTCCTGGGTTCAGGCAATTCTCCTGCCTCAGCCTCCTGAGTAGCTGGGATTACAGGCACGGGCCACCATGCCCAGCTAATTTTTTGTATTTTTAGTAGAGACGGGGTTTCACCATGTTGACCAGGATGGTCTCGATCTCTTGACCTCGTGATCCACCCGCCTTGGCCTACCAAAGTGCTGGGATTACAGGCTTGAGCCACTGCGCCCGATGCTTTTTTTTTTTTTTTTTTTTTTTTTTTTTAAAGACAGAGCCTTGCTCTGTCTCCCAGGCTGGAGTGCAGTGGTGCGATCGAGGCTGACTGCTATCTCCACCTCCTGGGTTAAGCAATTATCTTGCCTCAGCCGTATCTAGTAGCTGGGACTACAGGCACCTGCCAACTTGCCCGGCTAATTTTTGTATTCTTAGTAGAGATGGGGTTTCACTATGTTGGCCACTCCTGACCTCCTGATCTGCCCGCCTCGGCTTCCCAAAGTGCTGGGATTATAGGTGTGAGCCACTGTGCCTGGCACCATGCGTTAATCACAGTATATGGACATTAGTCTGGTAGGCCCCCCAAGTCAGATGGGGATCTCACACTAAAGCATTCATTTCTCCTTTGGCCCTGAGAGCCCATAAGGTCAATGTGGGGAGAAATAGGCCTCTCCAGAGTCCTGTCTTCAGGAAGCCCCTCAATTTGAGGTGGCTGCCTCAGACTGAAAGCTCCACCTAAGCAGGTGGGAGAAAGACCCACCCAGGGCATGGGTAGCAGGGCTGGCCACTTGGAGGAGATGTAGTTGGCCTAGGCCTGCTGCAGAACCCTTCACACACCACTGGGCTCCTTTGTCCGCAGCGGCCAAGAAGGCAGTGTGGCTGGAGAAGGAGGAGAAGGCCAAGGCACTGCGGGAGAAGCAACTCCAGGAGCGCCGCCGGCGGCTGGAGGAGCAACGGCTTAAAGCCGAGCAACGCCGCGCAGCCCTGGAGGAACGGCAGCGGCAGAAGCTTGAGAAAAACAAGGTGCGGATGGGTCTGTGTGGATCCGTGCACACACGTGCTCACCATCTGCATACTGGTGCGGTGTGTATGCGCATCCATGTTCACGGCTCTGCCTTATCTGTGTCTACGTGATCCTATCTGCGTTCACATGTACAGTTGTGTTCCTGTGTTAGAATATCTGGGCAGCTGTGCAACTGCAGGCACATTTGCTTCTGAATGTGCTGTTGCAGGCCCCTGTAACTTCTTACTGTCAGTCAGTACCTGTGTTTGTACACATGCCCCAAGTGTCTGTGTGTATGTATGCAGGTATGTGTGTGTCTATATGCAGGGATGCGTTTGTGTGTATATGTATGCAGGTATGTGTTTATATGTATGCAGGTATTCATCTCTGTGTGTGTGTATGCAGGTATGCGTCTGTGTGTGTATGTATGCAGATATGTGTCTCTGCATGTGTGTTTACAGGCATGCATCTGTGTGTGTGTGTATGCAGGTATGTGTCTGTGTGTGTGTATGCAGGCATGGGTCTGTGTGTGTATATGCGGGCATGCATCTCTGTGTGTGTGTGTATGCAGGTACGCGTCTGTGTGTGTGTGTGTTTGTGTGTGTATGCAGGTATGTGTCTGTGTGAGTGTGCCTAGCTCTGTCACACGGGTAAAGCCCTGGCTTCAACACTGGTGAGAAAATTAAGGAAATGGTCACCTGACCCTACGTTGGGGACCTCAGGCTAAAGGGAACACATAGCCCCAAGGTCACAGGACCCTCAGTGCCTGAGATGTGGCCTTGCCTGGAAGCCCTAGGTAGGGGAAGTCCCACCCTATCCTCAGAGAAGCAACTCATACACTCAGGAAATGACTCAATAACAGTGAAAAGCTCCCCAGGAACAAGTCGAAAGGGATCTTGGTCCTTAATCATAGCAAGAATTTGGTAATCTTGGTTACCTGCAGTGAGTCAGGAAAAGATTCCGAGGGAAGGCAATGGGAAAGGCATTGTCACAGGTGGAAGAAGGGCCTTTATCCCAAATTCCATGAACGTTCTGAGTCCATATCTCTCTCTTCTCCCCACCTTCCCCCAGGAGCGCTATGAAGCAGCCATCCAACGGTCAGTGAAGAAGACGTGGGCCGAAATCCGGCAGCAGCGCTGGTCCTGGGCAGGGGCCCTGCACCACAGCTCTCCAGGACATAAGACCAGTGAGTAGGCTGCTGGGGCTAGGGGATGGGTGGGCAAGGCTGGGATGGCAAATGAGGGAAGGGAACAACTTCCCTACAAGGAGCTGGCGGCCCCCTGCAGCAGGTGTGCTTTGCTTCATGTGACTTGTGTCTTCTAGAATGGTCTGTAAGCCAAACTGTCCCTTCCCACGGACTTCCACTATCAAATCAGAGATGGATTCTCTCCATTTGGTTTGCCCTTCAAACCTCTGTCATTTTAGGATTAGCCTTCTTTGTGCCTGTCAATTATTATTAGCTGTTGATACATAAAAGACTTTAATGCCCTACAGACACTGGATCTTAAAGAAACTGTCACTCCTTGTCTCAGAAGGTAGATTTTTGTCTCTGAGCTTTCTCCACGTAGGGCCACTATGGATTTTGGTCTGATTCTTTGCTGGCATGTATGTACCACTGTGTTTGGATGTCTTTACGCAATGGCAAGTTTCAGTATTTCTAGCTGTAGATCTTCGGTGTATGTGCTCATGGATCTGTGCATTGTGTGTCTTAATATGTGTTTGCCTTGGTGTGTTTGTGGCCTTGTGTACCTCAGTGAAGGCTCCTAAGTCAGATAGACTTGGGTTCCAGCTCTGGCACTTGCAGCGTGACCTTTAACTTCTCGAAGTCTCCCTTTCTTCATCTGTAAACTGGGGGTAATGATCCTACTTGCTCCTGAGGTGGTAGATAGATGTTTGAAGGATCACATGAGGTCACATGTGTGTGGTGCCCCACACAATACCTGGCACGTGGTAAGCATCAACAAATGTGAGCTGTTACAAATGTCATGATTAGGTTGCTTCGATGTGTTTATGGCTTATGTGCATCTGGGTCTGGCACACTATCAGTGTTAGTGTCTCTGTCCCTGTGCATGTCTGCACATGTGTGCATGCCCAAGTATCTGCCACTCTCTATGCCTGTGTCTGCATGTCTTTTTGTGACTCTGGATGAATACATGGACTTGTGCAAGTGACCGTGACCCGTGTAGGTCCCATTTAGGAACGTCTTTGCATTTGTCCCGGTACCTGGGTGTTGTATCCATAACGCCTTGGTTGGGCAGTGTCAGCAAGTGCCAATGCTGGGTGGTTATGGGGAAGGAGTTGCAGTACCTAGCCGTAAGGAATGGCTTCCTTGGTCCCGCCAGGAAAGCTGTAGCTACTCTAGTTTTACTCATCTCCTCCCTTTGTTCCTTCTCCATCGGCTCCCCCAACCCAGGTTGTCTCTGGTCACCCACCCCTCATCCTCCCTCTCCCAGGGCCAAGGCTGCCTCCTCTCCTCATCCTAGCCTGCCCACTCCTCCCTCTCCCACCCTACCCTCAGAGCATCCTGCATGGAAGGCCTTGGTGCCCCCCACTGGCTCCTGCCTGGCCCGGCCCTAATGCCGTGTCTTTTCCCCTCCAGGTGGGAGCAGGTGCTCCGTGTCGGCAGTTAACCTGCCCAAACACGTGGACTCTATAATCAACAAGCGGCTCTCAAAGTCCTCTGCCACGCTCTGGAACTCCCCCAGTAGAAGTAAGAGAAGGCCCAGCCCTTCCTCCTCCAGAGCCCCTTGTAGCTCCCACAAAGCCTCCTCCAGAGCTCAGCAAGAACACCAGGTCCCTGGAGCCCTCACATACTCCAGGTCCCCATCCCCACTCTACCCTACTCAGGGCTCTCTGCCCCTTGGGGGAGCCGGCATATGGGTCTGGACCTTGAGAACAGAGTTTGCCCTGCAGGAGAGGAGAACAGAGACAAAGCACAATGGCCCAGAGGGCAGGAAGCCTGGCAGGGGCCTCAAGAGCAAGTTGGAGGTGGTGACTGGGGGTGGGGACAGGCAGGCAGCCTTTTCCGCAACCACAGCCAGCTGGCCTGGGCCAACCTTAGGCAGGTGGCATTGCCCCCATGTGCCAGACTGGCTTGGGTGCTGTGGGGTGGAAGAGTCCCCTCATTCTGGCTCCACCCTAGAGGGCCCATGCAATCCTGCCCTCTCTGCCTTCAGAATCCCAGTCACGGCCTTGGCTGGTTCCAGAGTTGAGCCAACCAAGGTGGCATAGCCCCTGCATTCCCACCATGCCCCATTGCTCATATGTGAAGGAGCCATGGTAGGAGTTATTTATAAGTTTCTCTTAGATTTGTTTGGTTGCTTTGTTGCCTAGCAACCAAATCAGCTGCTGTACCAATCCCACCTGACTGAGGCTTAAAAATAGCCCAGCAGCTGAGGGGACAGAGCAGGGTGGCCTAGGGCAGACAGGCACCCTAGCAGCCTCTCCCTGGCACAGGACTGCTAAAAGCTGGGTCGGGGAGCAGACCCTCACTGTCCCAATCCATGGGGCAGCCTCTGCTGGGTCAGCCCTCTGAGAGCAGGAGGGACAAGGCCTTAGACTGGGACATGGCAGAGGGCAGTTGGGTCTTCTTCCAATCCTGGATGGCTCCTTCGAATATGCGCGGTTCAGGGCCCTTTCACCTGGGGAGAGTTGCAGCGGGGGAACCTCATCCGATGCAGGATGTTGCCCTGGGAGGTGTCTGGTTGCCTGGGTCTGCAGTGGAAGTCCCGATCGTAGGGAGGACAAGTATGGCCCTGGCGTGATTGTGGGGAGAGGCCTCCCGGGTGAGAATCCTTGGGCTTGGCATGGGGATGGTGCCTGGTCTGCCCCCATGCCTCTCCTTGCCTCCTGCGGCCCCCAGGGTGACTGGCTTCACCTGGCGTTCTCCCTCTAGATCGCAGCCTGCAGCTGAGCGCATGGGAGAGCAGCATCGTGGATCGTCTGATGACGCCCACCCTCTCCTTCCTTGCTCGGAGTCGCAGCGCCGTCACACTGCCCCGCAACGGCCGGGACCAGGGTAGGGGCTGCGACCCTGGGAGAGGCCCCACGTGGGGCCGGGCAGGGGCCAGCCTGGCGCGCGGGCCGCAACCCGACCGCACTCATCCTTCTGCAGCCGTGCCGGTGTGCCCGCGCTCGGCCTCCGCCAGCCCCCTGACGCCGTGCAGCGCCCCCCGAAGCGTGCACCGCTGCGCCCCCGCCGGTGAGCGCGGGGAGCGCCGCAAGCCCAGCGCCGGGGGTAGCCCTGCTCCTGTGCGCCGCCGGCCGGAGGCCTCGCCGGTGAGTGGCTCGACTGGTTCGAGTGGCCGCGCAGGTGGGGGACAGGCAGCCTGGAACTGGGGAACGCGGGCGCTGCTGACCTCTACTCTCCTCCTCCCCGCCCTTCCGTTCCTCCTTCCTCATCAGGTGCAGAAAAAGGAGAAGAAGGACAAGGAGAGGGAAAACGAGAAAGAGAAGAGTGCCCTGGCGCGCGAGCGCAGCCTCAAGAAGCGCCAGTCGCTGCCTGCCTCCCCGCGCGCCCGCCTCTCGGCTAGCGCGGCCTCTGAGTTCAGGTGGGCACGGGCGGTGTGACGGACCCTGCCCCTCACCGGGTCATTTTTTCATCACCGCAAGTATTTGTTGGGCACCCACCTGTAGAATGCAGTTCTTAAGGGCAGAGTTCTCTCTCTTTGTTTAAGACAAGGTCTCCGTCACCCAGGCTGGAGTGCAGTGGCACAATCTTGTTTCTCTACAGCCTCGACCTACCTGCTCAAGCTATCCTCCCACCTCAGCCTTCCAAGTAGCTGGGACTACAGGCATGCCACCACGCCCGGCTAATTTTTTGTATTTTTGGTAGAGAGGGGATTTCGCCCCGTTACCCAGGCTGGTCTTGAACTCTTGAGCTCAGGCGATCCACCTGCCTCCACCTCCCAAAGTACTGGGATTACACATGTGAGTGTGAGCCACCTCACCCAGCCTCCATTTTTTTTGTTTTATTTTCTTTCTTCTTTTATTTTATTTTTTTAGTGTTTTGGTTACTGAAGTACCCCAGAACCTAAAACAGTGTGCCTGGCACCCTGGTAAGCACTCAGTGAATACCTACTGAAGGGCCAGGGCAGTGCCTCATGCCTGTTATCCCAGCACTTTGGGAGGCCAAGGGGAGGATTGCTTGAGCCCAGGAGGTCGAGGCTGCAGTGTTATGTATGATCATACCACTGCATTCCAGCCTGGGCATCAGCCAGATCCTGTCTTAAAAAAAAAATTCCGCTGAATGAATGATGAATGGACCTGCCAGGTAGCACTCAGGGTGTGCTGAGGACACTTTGGTGAGCTAATACCAGGCCTGGTTTTTTTTCTCTTATTAAGCTTACAGGCTATTGGCTGGGGACAGACAATAATCAAAGAATCCCACAGAGACATATGTCATTACAAACTGGGGTATATGCTCTAAAAGGGAATGGTGTGTTTCTGTGAGAGCAAGGGGGAGGAGGAGTCGGTGCTGATTTACCCTGGAGGAGGGGACCCTTCCCAGAGAAAGTGGCAAGTTGTGTGTGTGTGTGTGTGTGTGTGTGTGTGTGTGTGTGTCCCTGTGTCTTAACCCTTCCCTTTTCCGTTTTCTCTCAGCCCCAAATCCAAGGCCCGGCCATCCTCTCCCTCCACATCCTGGCACAGGCCTGCCTCCCCCTGCCCCTGCCCAGGGCCAGGCCACACTCTGCCTCCAAAGCCACCGTCCCCCCGAGGCATCACTGCATCCCCCAAGGGACGGGTTCGGAGGAAGGAGGAGGCAAAGGAGAGCCCAAGCGCCGCAGGGCCCGAGGACAAGAGCCAGAGCAAGCGCAGGGCCAGTGACGAGAAGGAGCCAGCAGCCCCAGCCTCACCGGCACCCTCACCGGCGCCCTCGCCCACCCCAGCCCCGCCCCAGAAGGAGCAGCTCCCCGCGGAGACCCCTGCAGGTGGGTCTAAAGAGAGGGGTGGGCCAAGCAAGAGAAGCCAGCTTCTCCTGCATGGGGGTGTGGGCCGCCAGAGATGCCTGAGGACTGGGAGTGGGAGCCGGAACGAGGAGACTCCTGCCCTCAGCAGGCCCGGGCTCAGAACATAGGCCTTTGGAAGGTGACAGCAGGAAGCCTGCGCGCGTCCCAGGAAGGGGTGCTGGCGGTGCCTGCGTGCGTGTGCTGACGCCTGGTCTCGGATCCCCCTCCAGACGCTGCTGTCTCGACCTCACCCCCAGCCCCTGCTCCCCCGGTGACCCCTGGCAAACCAATGGCCGGCACCACAGACCGAGAAGAGGCCACTCGGCTCCTGGCTGAGAAGCGGCGCCAGGCCCGGGAGCAGCGGGAGCGCGAGGAGCAGGAGCGGAGGCTGCAGGCAGAAAGGGACAAGTGAGTGGCCTTGGGGACTGAGGGGGGCAGGATCCTCGTGGGCGCTGGAGAAGAAGCGGAGCGCGAACCGTGTCCTCCGTACCCCAGGCGAATGCGAGAAGAGCAGCTGGCGCGGGAGGCGGAGGCCCGGGCGGAGCGGGAGGCGGAGGCCCGGAGGCGGGAGGAGCAGGAGGCGCGAGAGAAGGCGCAGGCCGAGCAGGAGGAGCAGGAGCGGCTGCAGAAGCAGGTGCCTCTGGCGGGCGGGAGGCGGCTGGGCGCGGGCGCCGCGGGCCGGGAGGGAAGGCTGGAATCAGGTGCCCCACGCTCACTGGGGTCTTTGGCAGAAAGAGGAGGCGGAAGCTCGGTCGCGGGAAGAGGCGGAAAGGCAGCGTCTGGAGAGGGAAAAGCACTTCCAGCAGCAGGAGCAGGAGCGGCAAGAGCGCAGAAAGGTGTGCGGGCGTGGGCGGGGCTTGGTGGGCGGGGGCGTGCGGGGCGGGCCAGGTGGGCGGGGCCTGGGCTTGGAGCTGTTGGGACGGGAAAGCGCTGGGGCAGATTCCAGTTCCTGGCCTGGAAAGGGCTGCTAGGAGCTGGGAGGCCCTGAGACTCCGAGGCCGAGGCCGGGGCTGGCTGGTGGGAGGTTTAGGATTAGGGGAGGGGCTCGAGCCTAACTGATGTGGGGCCTCCACAAACAGCGTCTGGAGGAGATCATGAAGAGGACTCGGAAGTCAGAAGTTGCTGAAACCAAGGTCAGAACTCCCCACCATGGCAGTGCTGGGTGTGGGGACCAGGGTGGGAAAAGGAGGCTTCGGAAAGGCATGCATGGCCAAGGAAAGCGAGGCTGTCGGGGAGGCCGACGCGGCCCGGGCAGGAGGAGGACAGAACTCTGTCCGAAGTGGCTGGGGTCGCTGTCCCTGGAGCCTGACTACTTTTCCTCTTCAAAGCAGAAGCAGGACAGCAAGGAGGCCAACGCCAACGGTTCCAGCCCAGGTAAAGACCCGGTTCTCCTCACCTGCCTCCCCTTTGTCACTCCCCTCCTCCATCCTCACCTCTTTTGCCAGCCCCTGGCTGATGGCCCCTCTTTCCCTGTGACAGAGCCTGTGAAAGCTGTAGAGGTTCGGCCGCCAGGACTGCAGAAGGAGGCTGTGCAGAAGGAGGAGCCCGCCCCACAGGAACCTCAGTGGAGGTACCAGCTTCCAATCCCAGGGTGCCCGAGCAGGGAAGCAGGCTGCAGCTGGAGCTGCGGGTGGCCAGGGCTCTCCTGGGAGGTGAGGTGCTGAGCCTGGGCCTCTACATCCACAGCCTCCCAAGCAAGGAGTTGCCAGGGTCCCTGGTGAATGGCCTGCAGCCCCTCCCAGCACACCAGGAGAATGGCTTCTCCCCCAAGGGACCCTCTGGGGACAAGAGTCTGGGCCGAACACCAGAGGCACTTCTGCCCTTTGCAGAGGCGGAAGCCTTCCTCAAGAAAGCTGTGGTGCAGTCCCCGCAGGTCACAGGTGGGTCTCCTGATGCCTGGACTCGGCTCCCTTCCTCCCAGCATCCTTCCCTGCACTCCTCAGCCCTGCCTTCTCTTCTGGCTCTACCAGGCGCCCTCTCCTGCTCCACGCTGAAGACCCCCAGCTATCTGGGCTTGGGTGCTGTTTGTCTAGACTGTTTCCCCTCCCTTTTTTCCCCAGAAGTCCTTTAAGACGGGTTGCCTTGGATCCGGGCACAGCTTCGAGGGCTCCTCTGCATCACCTACCAGGATGTCAGGAGGAGAAAAAGAACAAAGATGGAAGTGGCCTGGGCCCCTGGGGATGGGTCCTCTCTGTTGTTTTTAATCTGCACCTTATGGACTGATGTCTCTTTGGCTGGAGCCAGATCTCCCCCCAGTGCATTCGTGTGCTCGCACGCGTGGACATCCCCTCTCCCCCATACACACACATACACTCACAGCCTCTCTGGTCTCTTCCCTTGGGGAGGGGCCACCTGTAGTATTTGCCTTGGTTTGGTGGGGTACAGTGGATGTGAATACTGTAAATAGCTTGTGCTCAGACTCCTCTGCGTGGAGAGGGTGGGTGCAGGAGGCAGACCCTCCCCCCAAAGTCCCCTGGGGAGATCTTCCTCTCTCTATTTAACTGTAACTGAGGGGGATCCCAGGTCTGGGGATGGGAGACACCTTGGGCCACAGGATACTGGTTGCTTTAGGGGTACCCATTCCCCCTGCGCTCGCCTGGAATCAGTGTTACTGCATCTGATTAAATGTCTGCAGAAATAAAGTGAGAATAATTCTGCGAATCCTGCCTGTTCTTGGGGGTGGAGGTGGGAGAGGGGGCCTCCTGAGTGCTAAGAACTGAAGAAGCGTTGGGCCTGGGGATATCTTCCCCACCTGGTGCAACTAGTCCTGAACCCCTCCCCTATGGTCTTCCAGTTTAGTCATGAATTCATTCATTTATTCGTTCAACAAATACTGTTGCATCTACTCTATCAGGCAGTGGGCTATGCACTGGAGATACAGTAGTCAGAAAAGATGTAACCTCTGTCCTTGTGCAGTTTATAGTCTAGTGGGTGAGTGTCCTGGACACTGTGGGCTGCCCACTCAACATCTATTCCCATTGTCCTTTCCTCATTCCAAACAGAATCTCTTGGTCAGGCATGGTGGCTCATACCTATAATCCCAGCACTTTGGGAGGCTGAGGTGGGTGGATCACGAGGTCAAGAGATTGAGACCATCCTGGCCTACATGGTGAAACCCCATCTCTACTAAAAATACAAAAATTAGCTGGGCATGGTGGCACATGCCTGTAGTCCCAGCTACTTGGGAGGCTGAGGCAGAATTGCTTGAAGCCGGGAAGTGGAGGTTGCAGTGAGCCCAGATTGAACCACTGCACTCCAGCCTAGCAACAGAGTGAGACTTCATCTCAAAGGAAAAAAAAAAAAAAAAAGAATCTCTATTCAGGTAGCCATCTTTCTCTTAGATGGCACCCCGTGCTTCAGCAGAGGTGGGTCTTAGCCCCGGGGTGAATCATGATTGTGATTGGGACCAAAACAATGGTCTCAAACCTCTCCTGAGTGACAGGTATAGGCATGGACATGTGACACAGTTCCAGCCAGGAGACATGAAGGGAAGCTTCCTGGAGGCTTCAGGAAAGGCATCCTCATTTTTGACAGTGTGGTCCTCAGCCTCTGTGATGACCTATCACTGATGTCCAGTACCTCCTAGTATTCACACCCTTGTGTAGTTCTTTCCTGTCTTGTATCAGGATGGGGCTGAGTGGCCAGTAGAATATGGCAGAAGTGGTGTGTCACATCTTGAGATCAGGTATAAAAAACACCCCACTCATGCCTGTAATCCCAGCAATTTGGGAGACCAAGGCCAATGGATCACTTCAGCCCAAGAGTTCAAGACCAGCACCAGGCAGCATGGTGGAACCCTATCTCTACAGCAAATATAAAAATTAGCCAGGCATGGTAGCACCTGCCTGTAATCCCAGCTACTCAGGAGGCTGAAGTGGGAGAATCATCTGAGCCTGGGAAGTCAAGACTTCGGTGAGCTGTGATCATGCCACTGCACTCCAGCCTGGGCAAGTGAGACTCTATCTCAAAAAACAAAAACAAAACACTGCAGCTTCTTGAGAGCTCTCTCGCCCTCGGGTCACTCACTCTGGAGGAAGGCAGCTGCGACATCACAAGCAGCCTTGGAGAGAGGCCCGTGCTTGCAAGCAGATCCCCCAGTCAAGCCTTCAAATGATTTTCAGTTCTACCAGCAGCTCACTGTCACCTCATGGGAGACCCTGAGCTAGAACCAACCACCTAAGCCACTCCTGGGTTTCTAAGCCTTAGAAACTGCGAGATGCTAAATGGTTCAAACTGCTAAGTTTTGTGATGATTTGTCACACCACAATAGTTAACCAATGCACATCATGAGGAGAAAACCCAGTTTGTGTGATAGGAGGTCCCACTGTGATGCCCGGAATTGCTGCATCCCTCCCGGCGGCGACCTATCTCAGGACAAAGCCAACCTCTAGGACAGCAGAGCAGTGAGATGGGAAACACCCAGGTCCTTGAGAACACCATTGCGTTAACCAACCCTAAAGCCAGTCCTGTCTCTAGACTAGTTTTCTTATTGTTTAAGTCAACGCAAGTTAGATTTTCTGTTACACGTGGCCAAATGCTTTTAACACAGACAATAAATAGAGAAATGAATTTCCCTTGTGAGATACACTGAAGGAAATGAACTGGGTGAAAAGATGGGGCAAAAATGGGGAGACCTACTCAGGGGGGTGTCTCTTAAAGAACCAGCATTTAGGCCAGGTGCACCGTGGCTGACACCTGTAATCCCAGCACTTTGGGAGGCCAAGGCAGGAGGATAATGAGGTCAGGAGTTTGAGACCAGCCTGGCCAACATAGTGAAACCCCATCTCTACTAAAAATACAAAAAAATTAGCCAGGCATGGTGGCGTGCGCCTGTACTCCTAGCTACTCAGGAGGCTGAGGCAGGAGAATTGCTTGAACCCAGGTGATGGAGGTTGCAGTGAGCCGAGATCTCGCCGCTGTACTCCAGCCTGGGTGACAGTGCGAGACTCCATCTCGAAAAGACAAAAAGCAGCATTCGAACTGGACCTGAAGGGATAGGAAGGAGCCAGCCTTGTGAAAGGAAGCAGGAGGTGAGTTGCAGGTAGAGGGGTCAGTATGTGGGAGGCTGGGAATTCCAAGGACAAAGGAGCAGGAGCTGCCCTTGCTGAAGCATCAAAGGGACCAGGAGCTAGATGGGTTTGGAGAGGTGAGCAGGGCTAAGCCACAGCACACTAGAAACAAGAAGGGGCAAGAAGGAACTGACACTCGTTCAGCCCTCTCCTTGGTGAGAGTTCCTATGTACGCCCCTCCCCGCCTCCCCTCTCCAGCCATCACCCACCAGCTGATATTCACAGTGAGGTAGAGGTGCCAACATTTCCCTGAAGGGCAGAACTCTTTGAATACTCTTGTGGGAGAATCATTTACTCATTCATTTAGTTAATCAGTCAATTAACTGTGGAACCCCGACTGAGCACCACAGGGAAACGATGGTAAGCAAAAACCAGACGTAGAAGCTCCTGGAGCTTCCTGGTAGGGAAGATGGGTATAAACCAAATCACCACACGAACAAATGTAAAAATAGAAAATGTGGTAAGGGCCGTGAAGTCAAATACAAGGAGCAGTTAAGAACAGATACAGGGGACCTAAGCTAGCTTCAGGTCAGATAAGACATCCCTGAATGAATGGTGTGTCATCAGAACTGATGGGTGAGTAGGTGTTGACTGGGCAAAGTCAGGAAGGTAGAGAAAAGGAGACAGAAAGGTCTGGATTCCAGAACAAGGGAAACCACATGCACAGGCTGTGAATGGGAAGGAGGTATGTAAGTTCAAGTGTCTGGAGCACTAAGCAGAGCTGAAGGAGTCTGTTTTTGCTCACCCCAGCGCCTGGTGGAACAGGCACTCAATATTTGTTGAATTAAGAAATGTCAGTTGAGGAGGTGGAGTTTGGCATGAGGTGGGTCAGATCATGCAAGGCCTTGTAAGGCTGTGGTCAGAGGCTTGGATTTTATTCCAAGGGCCATGGGAAGCCACTGAAGATTATTCAACAGGGGGTGGAAGGGTGGCATGATTGGATAGGCAGTTTTTTTGGGGGGGTGGATTTTTAGGCAGAGTCTTGCTCTGTGTCCCAGGCTGGAGTCCAATGTTGTGATCTCGACTCACTGTAACCTCCGCCTCCCAGGTTCAAGCGAATTCCTCTGTCTCAGCCTCCCGAGTAGCTGTGACTACAGTCGCACACCACCACGCCCAGCTAATTTTTGTATTTTTAGTAGAGATGGGGTTTCACCATATTGGTCAGGCTAGTCTTGAACTCCTGATCTCAGGCGATCCACCTGCCTTGGCCTCCCAAAGTGCTGGGATTGTAGGGATGAGTCACTGCACCCAGCCAGGTAGGCTGTTTTATTAGACCACTCTGGCTTTTGCGTGGGAAACTGACAGAAACTTGATAATAAACTGGAAGACAAACCAAGAAGTGATTGCTGAGGTCCAGATAAGAGACGATAGAGGCTCATTCTTGGGAGATAGAGATGGAGAGGAGTGTGTAACATAAATGTACTTATTCATTCAAAAAACATTCATTGAGCATCTTGCTGGGCACAGTAGCTCATGCCTGTAATTCCAGCACTTTGGGAGGCTGAGACGAGTGGATTGCCTGAGCTCAGGAGTTTGAGACCAGCCTAGGCAACATGGTGAAAGCCCGCCTCAACAACAACAAAAATATATACGCAGAAATTAGTCTGGTGTGGTGGTGTGTGCCTGTAGTCCCTGCTACTTGGGAGGCTAGGTGGGAGGATCGCTTGAGCCTGGGAGGCTGAGGTTGCAGTGAGCCGAGATCACGCCACTGCACTCCACTCTGGGTGACAGAGTGAAATCCTGTCTCAAAAAAAAGAACCAAAAAATGAAAACAACAAACATCTATTAAGCATCTATTATGTGCCAGGCCAGAGGTGTTGGAGATTTTCAGATGAGCAAAAATTGACGGCCGGGCACGGTGGCTCAAGCCTGTAATCCCAGCACTTTGGGAGGCCGAGGCGGGTGGATCACAAGGTCGAGAGATCGAGACCATCCTGGTCAACATGGTGAAACCCCGTCTCTACTAAAAATACAAAAAATTAGCTGGGCATGGTGGTGCATGCCTGTAATCCCAGCTACTCAGGAGGCTGAGGCTGGAGAATTGCCTGAACCCAGGAGGCGGAGGTTGCGGTGAGCCGAGATCGTGCCATTGCACTCCAGCCTGGGTAACAAGAGCAAAACTCCGTCTCAAAAAAAAAAAAAAAAAAAAAAAATTGACATGGTTCTTACCTTGTGGAGCTTTATTAATAATTAATTAAATAATATTACAAACAAATATACAATTACAATTACAATTATGACAAACAGTGGCTTACTCCTACAATCCTGGCACTTTGGGGGGCCGAAGAGGAAGGATTGCTTGAGTCCACGAGCCTGAGACCAGCTGAGCAGCATAGCGAAATCCTGTCTCTACAAAAAAAAAAGAAAAAACAGTCAGGTATGGTGGTGCACACCTGTAGTCCCAGGTCCTCAAGAGGCTGAGTGGGAGGATTACTTGAGCCCAGGTTAAGGCTGCAGTGAGCCGTGATTGTGCCACTGCACTCCAGCCTGGGCAACACAGTGAGACTCTGTCTCAAACAACAGAAAAACTCCTGCCTTAGCCTCCCAAAGTGTTGGAATTACAGGTGTAAGCCAGCATGCCAAACCAAA